ATTTTCCTGTCATTTTTTTAACTTAAGTAATAGATTTATGTTACTATTATTAAAAAAAATAAACTATTATAAAGTCACTGATTCAAATATTACACTTCTACCACATTACCAAGAAGTTCCCGAGTTTCTATGGTGTAATCTCGTGAATGGCCCAAAGAGAATGGAGAGGACATCCTTGGCGAAACTCGTCTTTTTAAGCTCTCAACGTTGTGGCTAGCAGTAGTAGATGGTGTACGTTTAAAAGTACTTTGGCTTTTTGGTTTTAGAGACAGTCTTACAAAATGTGTCTGTAATCTAGAAATGGAATGTATATACTTCTTTAAAACTACTGTCATACACTTATTTAAAGATTGGCAATGAGAAAATGACATATCAGGATGATAAAACTCTTATCGTACTTCTTAGTATTTCGTATTTCTAGATCTACAACAACTTATAAGTAATCTACTTTCACATTTCGTCAAGGCGTTAGGTAACCTTGGAAATTGGAGTACAGTTTTACCTATTGGCTATAACTTATGACATGCACGTGACTTTTGTTGAGATTATAAGTATTCTCATTCCTAGAACTCCAAATATTCATATATACGATATATATATATTTCAGTGCGTTAAATTTCGACCTCAGCAAACCAACCTTGAACTGTCAGTTTGTCACGAGTTCAGGGGAAGGATTGTTATATGCAGACCCCCCCCCCCCAACCGGGACCCACATACCCGTGTACAAAGTACAAACTGACTGTCAAAAAGCTAATTTATCCAATCTTGGTTTGAAAGCATGCACTTGATAGATTTATCATGGCATATGTCTCCTACTAACCTACTGTATTTTAGTTATAGATTTTACAATTGGATATCATATTTTTTAGAGGATTTGTAACAGCAGTGTTAGTGTGGATTTGTTAGTCGCTAGTTTACCTTAATTAAATACAACAATTTATGAGTAGTTACGAAGCTTTAGGCTTATTTTATTACACAAGGTATGTTTCATCAATATTTTATTATGTAAGTTTTGATTCGTTGTATACAAAACAAGCAAATTGAATAAATGTCCTAGTCACTATTTCTGACATCTCGACAAACTACTCAGAGGAAAATTGGTTAATACGGTGAATATATGAAAGCAATAATTAATTACGCTTAAACATTTCAATTGTTTAATAGCAAAATAAGATAGAATTGGTTGAATACAAATCAAGTTTATTGTTTTTTTCTCGATTTTAATACATAAGTGGGTTTATCATAATTAGGCCACAAAATTATTTACTGTATGATTTTCATTGTTAGAAGTGTACTTTCTTTGCCTTCTGTCTGGCAAAGCGATCATTGATTCTGCTGAAACACAAAGTACGGGCTAACTGGTTTTCAATTGAAAGGATTCCCAGATCCATCAGTTAGTCATGGGCAAAGGTGGAGCGCGGATAATTTTTATAAGTTTCAGCTTACTAAAAAATTTCTCCCCTTCTGTGACTGTAATTGTGCAGAAAATATTGTTACGTCTCTGTTTGTTCATTGATTTCCCGTAAATTCGTTCCGACGAAACTTTAGCGACACAAGTCCTTACTTAATAAAACTGGTTTATTCTTTCTGAATATAACTTTACCGATACACTGATTTTCAACAGTCGCTCTGTAACAAACGTTAACTTCAACAATACTTCTGACAACAGTTTAATTACTCACTACCTACACACACATTATTGTCCCGTCACGTTGTCACCCTCTTTTATATACCAGACTACCCTATATCTAGTAAATGCTAGAGCATTCGCCAAGGTACAGGATAGTTCTAGAAACGTGGCGTGACACTAGTCATGTGACCTCGCTGACGCAACACTGCCCCCTCCTTAATATTGTTCGTCCCGAACAATAACCACATACAATAAACCAATAACAATTAACAATAACTTAATTAAATGTACAGAATTACAATTCAATAAAGTCTCTTAATTTTACGGGACGTATCTTTTTCCGTACTGATCTCCGTCTTGTTGGCTTCTGCTTCACGTGGGGTTCATCTGCTTCATCAGGAAATGTCCTATCGTCGGTAACAGTCACATCAGTGGTAGTATCTTCATCAAGAGCTTCACCATTTCCTTTCTC